CCAAGCCTCAGTTTGCTCATCTATAAAATGGGGATCATCCTACTTCATAGGGATAGTGTAAGGGTTAGATAAAAGAACATATGAAAGTGCTAAGCGTAAAGCTTCACATGGCGATGCTCAATAATAAACAATAGTTGTTATTAGCAGGAGAAGAGAAAAAGGAGAGAAAACATATAGGGAAGACAGCCCTGTAAGAATAGTGCGAAATGCATTAGGAAATCATGAGAAAGGAAATAACATCTAGGATCTTCCAACTTCTTAGCACCCGGAATTTGATCAGCCTAACAGGTGAATCCCATGGAAGCCAAAATCTTCTCTAACACCAGTGGATAGAGGTCTCTGTCTGAAGCTCACCATTGTCACTGTACTCACAAGTGTATGAGAGGGTGCCTCAGGAGGGTCTTCCTTCTCAGCATTCCTTGGACTGCAACCTGTTAGCTAAGAGCTCTACACTTAACCACCCCTACAGGACTCCCTCAGTTTCATGCTCTTAGCTTGACATCACAGACAAATTAGAAGGACAGACAAATGTGACCAGGATTAGACAGGGCTGAGCAAGGGGTAGGGACTAGAGATAAGGTTTGATCCAATGAGAGAAGCCATTATCTGGCCAGGTTGCAAGGAGGCTTCTGAGAACCCTGCCTTGCCACTGTTGGTGGCCGTTGTTACGGACTTACAGAGGCAGTACACTCTTGAAGAGGCTGGAAGAAATATCTGTATAACCTGAGGCACTTTTCCTCTCCACTAAAAGCTGAATCCTCCCAGGAAACCTAGGAGGTGAAAGCACAAATCTCCAAACACTCCTTTGGAACCAGACAATGCTATTTCTAACAATTGCCTTAAGCTCTCCAGACACCTTGAGCCTCCAGAGAGCAAAATATTGCACTATACACTACACAAACACACACACACACTTGTGTGTGCATACTTACATATATACACTCATGACCTCCAAGGAAGCCTTTAGTCTACCATCTGTAGCCAGAGCGCTGAAGCTGGAGATCATAATGCCCATTCCCTGATCTAACAGTCAACTGCAATCTCAGGGGAAGACCAGCCATTGCCTGAATCTCTGACCTTTTACCAGTTTCCTTTCATGCCAACGGGGAAACTAAGACCAAGAACACAGTAACATGATCCCCAATTAGCATAAAATAAAAACAACCCAGTCATGTTTTCCATGGGCTTTTCCAACCTCAAACTAAAAGCATGAAGCACTGATAAAGAGATAAAAATACACTCATGAGAACAACTATATTCCCATGATTTTGTATATATCACATATTATATGTACGAATGAAGGAGAGAGAAAGAGAGACTGTGTCTGCATAGCTAAACACCCTGACCTAAATGAATATCTGTCTCTTAAGAAAACCAAGCAGCCGGATACCGAAATCTGAGAATTTTCTCCTTCCAAAGTTCAGTGTAAGAATAGACGAGAAAAAGAAAGGACCATGATCACTTGGTATGGAAAGGGTTAAGTCCTCAGTCATCCTATTCCAAAGTGATTTATGATGATGTGTAGAGTTTCAAAACTTCCCCCTACTCCAAAGAACAGCCCTCTCTCTCCTCACTGAGTCCACTCTCAACGTGCTGAAATGGGAAGGAGGCGGTGTTTTGCTGATCTGTTAAATTCTTAGTGAAGTTTCCTTGATTTCCAGTGGCTGCTGTTGTTTGAGTTTGGTTTGGAGCAAAACTGAGGTAGTCCTGACATTTCTGGGACTGAATCCAGGCAAGAGGAAGAAGAAAAAGAAGGGGAAGGAAAAGAGAAGAAAAAAGGTGGGGAGAAATAAGGGAGGGGAGAAGTGTAGGAAAAGAAAAAAAGTCCTTTTCAACATCACATTCCTGTGTTTTCCCTCAGCCTGGAAAACATATTAATCCCAGAGCTTTTACGCCCGGAAACAAAGGGACTAAGCCAGACGGTGGGGGAAAGGGAGATAAGAAGGATCCTGGAAACTTAAAAAGGGAAAGAGGGAGTTTCAGAAATCGCCAGGACTCGACTTCAAGGGACGTCCTGTGTCAGCACAAGAGACTGGCTCACGACAGACACACACGACCAAGGAGAAACAACAGACAAATGGAGATACAAAGACTTAGAAGGACAGCTCCTTTCACCTCATCCTACTTGTCCAGAAGGTAAAAGGACACAGCCAGAAAGAAAAAGAATCTGCTCAGCTCTCACATCAGGACACTGGTGCTGTGGATCCTGGGTGCTGGAGCTGCAGCACACCCCTTTTGTATTGCTCACCCTCGGAAAGCAGACAGAGGGCTGGGAGGAAGAGTACTTCATCTAGGAAACTGTCCTGGGGACCAAACTTCAGATTTCTTTTGAAACCCTCTGCATTCCATCTCTATGAGCCACTATGTAAGTGTGTAATCCTTTCTATCTTTGCTGTGTTTGTTCGTTTCTTTGGTGCTTATTTGAAAAAAGTGAAATGTGAGTGTTGTCATAATTAATAAGCCCAGTTTGCATTTTCTCTGGAGCATCCAGAGTGTTAGTTGAAACAGTGCAAGCATGCTGACTAGGGAACTGAGTTGGATTTCCTGCCTAATGTAACTGTCTCTGCTAAACACTGACAAATTACAGGGACTTAAAAGTAACAAGATCTCATCCTATTTTCCATTCTGTGACCTCCTTCCTCCTTCTCTAATCACTCCTTTCCCCTCCCCTTGGCTAAGATGGAAAAAGAGAAAATGACCAGCTCTGTTTTCAATTAAATAATTTTCTTTCTTCTCTCCCCCCACCCCCTTCTGTCTTATGACCCCACTGCATCCCAAAGTGGATTACACAATGACGTGGAGAATGGGACCCCGTTTCACCATGCTGATGGCAATGTGGCTGGTGTGTGGGTCAGAACCCCACCCCCATGCCACGAATAGAAGGAGCCACGGAGGACAGAAAGTGCCTTTGGTTTCCCCAGTGGGCAATAGGCCAGCTCGGTTTCTGAGGCATACTGGGAGGTCTCGTGGCGTTGAGAAATCCACTGTGGAAGACCCAAACCTTCAGCCTGTCCAGAGAAGGAGGAGTGTGCCAGTGTTGAGACTAACTCGCCCAACCGAGCTGCCAGCTGCCTTGGGCATCAATGGAGCCCCAGTGAGACCTGAGCAGAGACCAGCAGCCAGGCGCTCTCCCCGTGAAATGGTCCGGGATGAGGGGTCCTCAGCACGGTCGAGAATCTTGCGCTTCCCCTCCGGGTCCAGCTCTCCCAACATCCTTGCCAGCTTTGCGGGGAAGAACCGGGTGTGGGTCATCTCAGCCCCTCACGCCTCTGAAGGCTACTACCGCCTCATGATGAGCCTCCTGAAGGACGACGTGTACTGCGAGCTGGCGGAAAGGCACATCCAGCAGATCGTGCTGTTCCACCAGGCGGGCGAGGAAGGGGGCAAGGTGCGGAGGATCACCAGCGAGGGCCAGATCCTGGAGCAGCCGCTGGACCCCAGCCTCATCCCGAAGCTGATGAGCTTCCTGAAGCTGGAGAAGGGCAAGTTTGGCATGGTGCTGCTGAAGAAGACGCTGCAGGTGGAGGAGCGCTACCCTTACCCGGTCAGGCTGGAGGCCATGTACGAGCTCATCGACCAAGGCCCCATCCGCAGGATAGAGAAAATCAGGCAGAAGGGTTTCGTCCAGAAATGCAAAGCAGCCGGCGTGGAGGGCCAGGTGGTGGAGGAGGGGAACGGTGGTGGCGGGGGAGCAGGCAGGCAGAGCCCCGGCAGTGAGAAGAGGAAAGAGGACCCCAGGAGAGCCCAAGTGCCGCCGACCAGAGAGAGCCGGGTGAAGGTGCTGAGGAAACCCGCCACCACGACGGTGGCTTTGCCCCCTCCTCCCCCAACCCCGAGGCCCACAACCCTTCCTCCGGTTCCAGCCACAACAGGGACTAGGGCTACGGCTCGGGTGGTAACGATAGCCACAAGACCTACCACCACCACTGCCTTTCCAACCACTCCGAGGCCCTGGACCCCCTCGGCCTCCCACAGGCCCACCGCAACCACTGATGTAACCACTGCCAGGGGGCCCTCAGTCTCAGAGCATCTCTACCCTCCAGGCCGGAAGGAGCAGCACAGGGAGAGGCTGCAGGCCACCAGACGGCCAGGCAAGACCACCAGCTTTGAGAGCTTCACAGCCGCCCCTCCCACCACCATCTCAGAGCCCAGCACCAGGGCTGCTGCCCCAGGCCGTTTCCGGGACAACCGCACGGACAGGCGGGAACACGGCCACCAGGACCCAAATGTGGTGCCAGGTCCTCACAAGCCAGCAAAGGAGAAACCTCCCAAAAAGAAGGCTCAGGAGAAAATTCTCAGCAATGAGTACGAGGATAAGTATGACCTCAGCGGGCCTACCACCTCCCAGCTAGAGGAGGAGCTGCAGGTGGGGAATATTTCTCCCCCCAAAACCAAGGAGTCTAAAAAGCATGAAAGGCTTGAGAAACCAGAGAAGGAGAAGAAAAAAAAAGTGAAGAATGAGAAACCAGACAAGTTACTCAAGAGTGAAAAACAAATGAAGAAGGCTGAGAAAAAGAGCAAGCAGGAGAAGGAGAAAAGCAAAAAGAAGAAAGCAGGTAAAACGGAGCAGGATGGCTATCAGAAACCCGCCAGCAGACATGCCACCCAGAGTCCAAGGAAGGCGGTAGCCGACGTGCTGGGGTCCTTTGAAGGAAAGCGCAGGCTCCTTGTAAGTAAACTTCTCCTTGGCGTTGTTCTGAGGCAGGGCATGTTAATGTCTGTCTTGTTTGTGTAAAATCACACTGCTAGATGCCAGGCTGTAGCTGAACCTATACCAAGTCAGGAAGATCCGGAAGTCTGGCAGGAAAGAGCAGCAGGCCAGTAGCTCCTTTAGATGATCTGTGAAGTGCTTTGCACACAACTCGTGGCCCTGAGGAGATAGGGTCAATGCCAGGGGGCCTTAGGCGCAAGAGGGGGTGGGGCTGGGCTGGGGCTTTATAATCATCTTCTTCCAGACCCAGAGGACCTCTCCACCATCTTTATCACTCTATTCTAAGGGTGAAAAAGAATGGAAGAGTTCCTAAAATGGAACACATTGTATCTAGTGACAACTTAGGAAAAGGTGTCTTGGCTGTGTGAATTTAGGAATCTGAAGAATGTGTATGGGAAAATGGCAGAGTTTCCCTCTCTCTAACTAGCTCTGTTTCAACATTTGGAGGTCTCAAAGGGGAAAGTAAGGAGACCTAGGAGGGGAGGTGGGTATGACTGGGAGTAGGGAAGGGGCTTGCTGGACCCTCATGAATCCTCTTAAAACCCATTGGCTGAAATCTTCTCCACTTAAAGGTTGCCTCCTCCATCACTGCCAACTACCAATAAGAGCCAAGGGAAAGGAGTGTGGGAAACTGAGTTAATTGCTCTGAATTTAGAGTCTAAATGTCAGATTCTCCTGAGACTCTGTGAAATAAATGTGTGCATGCACTTGTGTGCAAAAAGAGACAAGCGGTCCCTAATTCCCCTTTGCCTGAGCAAGTCACAGATTCATCTCAGTAATCGTCTCTTTTGACCATTACTTAACACCATCCAAAGAATCATAACAGAACCTAGGTCAACCGAATGAGGGCTAAGTGTCAGGGCAGGTTTATTGGTGACATGGGAACAGCTCTTTCTCCTGTCATGTTCCCTTCCCCTCTTTTGACACCCCTCCAAGATTTCTATGCCTGGCTTCTTCAGGCTGTATTTTTACTCTGGGCTGTCAGGGAGGAAAGGGGTGTATTACAATTGACTTAAAGTAAAATATCAGTAAATTAATGTGGGGTGATAAGAGTTAGGAATGATTTTCTTGAGTACCTAGCCGAGAGAACCAACTCATGTCATGAGGACAGCACCCATCCCACCAAAGGTGCAAGGTGGCTCCATGCCAGGCATTCCCATACCAAAAGAGACAGGCACTCTCCTCTCAAAGCATTTTTCAGAGGATCTTTTAGTTATTCTAATCTGACCTAAATTTAGATTGATGGTCTGGTCAGAGGGACTTTGATACCCATTTATCTCTAGTAGTTTCAAAAAGCTTAAATGTGCATTTGAAATATTACTCAGAGCAAAGTTCTTTATGATGCTTATCATAGGTAGGGCACGTCTCATATTCTCATAGCTGTTTCCATCAATGGTGGATCTGAGTATTAGAACAAAACTTAGCTCTAGTTGATTCTAAGGGTATGTGTGTCTTGTTACATATTTTTTGTTCTTGCAACTTCTAACCAGAGACTTAAAGTAACTAAATGCAGGTTATCAGATGATAGGCTGTCTGTTAAAGTAGTTTAACAGCTGCTTGGATATTCCTGAAGTACTTAAACTCAAGTGGGAATGTTCCAAGTTAGAACCAAAAAAGCACGAATTTCAGAGTAGAACTCTACTTGGCACCTGAAGATCTATTATTGGGCCACGGGGCAAACTGCCTCTTTGGGGCACGGAAAAGCATTAGTGGTATATACCCCATTTTTCTTCACAATACCTGGGACTTTGGCCCACTAAAGCACATCGCCCAACTCTGTCCATTTAGTTCACAGGGCAGACAAAGTGTTCCTCGTGGTCAGATTTTAACCAGAGAAAAAATAATCATGAGTAAAATGTCAGAATTGTAAAACTGTGCACCCATCTGGCAAATCCTTCCATTGCCCCTAGTTTCTGAGTCAAAAAGAAAGGGGTTTTCATACTGTATTACTGATATTAGGTGTGCTTTCCGTTTCTCCCTCCTTTTCTTTACTCCCTTAGTCAGGGATCTGAAAGCCCAGCTGGATCTTTTCTGCTTTTAACAGTATCCCTGGTCATAAATTTCTAGCAAATGAAACTCAAACGACAGCTTCTGCTGATGTCATGTGAGGCAAAACAGAAACCAGCTGGAATCGCTCTTGGTGGCAGTTGGCTCTGGGCTAGTGAGAGAATCAGGTTTGTTGTCGGAAAGAAAATACCAACAGGAGGCATTTCAGTCTTTCAATCCTACATGTGCCTAGCAGATGAGCCTATCAGAAACGTGTTTTCTGAAGAGGTAATGATGTTTAATGTAAGAATGGATTAGGAAAGATCTGATGAAATAAACATAATGCAAGAGGAAAAGATAGACACAAAAGAGTGTTTCATCAGATAGAGGAGACCGGTGGGGGAAAAGCATTGTTGGTGCCATTTATCCCTTTTCTTTTCCACTCACTTTCCCCCATCAAAGTTGGCTGATGTTATTCGGGAAGCTTGGTGATTCACTTGCTATTCATTAGGGCTTAGCACTCTCAAGCTGTTCTAGTATGGCTGAGAACGTTTAACTACAACTGCCCTCAACTAAACCCAGGGTTAAGCAGGTTTGCCTTCCAAGAAATTATGCAGGCCTTTCAGCTCATCTTTCCAGCTTTTCAGTAAGCTGGTACCTAACTACAATTTATTGTAAAGCCCTAGAGGTTCACATTTATTTTTACCATTCTTTAAATGTGAACACATCACATAACTGCTACTTAACCAATTACTTAGAGAAAAACACTGGCAACAAAGGTATGGGTTGTGGTTGAGTATGTGGCATCCTCAAGGCCTTCCCAGGAGCTGCAAGTGGACCCAGGCCTATTATTAGGCCAGAGTTCAATCCCTCAAGTTCACCCCCACAGCCAGTTAATATAGAAAAAGACACTCCTGCTTTGCTGAGACTGTAGGGTTTCATTCTTACAACAATCCCACTTTAAAGATGAGAAAACAGAAGCTTAGAGAGGTGGAGAAATTACCCAGGATATATAGCTTGTGTGTGTCCAAGCCAGGATCAGAAGTCAGGTCTGTTTTATTGGCAAGCTAGAGTTCTGTCTTCCTGTGGTTCGGAGCTTCCTGTGGAGTATGCCATGATATGTTATAAAGCAAAGGGGAAACTGAGGAACTAATCTTGTTAGCTAATACATATAAACACCATAAAATTCATTTTCAACCTTAAGTTTCCAAATAAATGTTAAGGGTTAGCAACTATCAACATTTTGTGCTAAGCAAAAATTTGAAGTTTCTGCCTTAGTACCCAGATAGTTCTCTGCACCTCAGTTCTCTGGCTTTCCAGGCAGTCAGTCAAGAACAATAGATTGACTCCCAATTAACCTAATCCTTTAGACAGCATGGTGTTAGTTTGGGGTTGACTATTTTGAGAATAGGTAAGCTTTTTATCACTGAAACATTGAACTGTGGGGAATATAGCTGACAAGCCATCATTTTGTGCTTTGAGATCTACTTATTTGTCTGTTAATAAGGGGACTTAACTGCTGAATTGCATAATACAAGTGCAAATTTAAGCATTTTTTGGCAAGTGAATGTCCTGTAATTGAAGTGGGTTAATAATTTCAACTTAACTTTAGAAATCTAGATATTGGGACAAAAGTCTACTTATTCGGTTTCATTTTAGAAAACAATTTAAAGTTCTGCTTTACTAAGACAGACTGCTAGTCTGAAAATTATTGTTTAGAATCTTGTAAAAATCTAGTCTTTTGAGCCTAACACAGTTTGTAGAATAATCTGAGATTTAAAGTATCTTCCCCCAGCCTCTTCCCATTCTTTACTCCCATTACTTAAGAAATAGCCTTCCTTAGCCTCTGAGGCTCATTGAGCCAACACACTAGTTGGAACAGAAACATGAAAAAGAACCACAGCACCATTTCAAATTCATGATACATCCTCTGATTTATTGACAGCAAACTGGTAAGAGGCCAAGTGACAGACAATAATGTTTCCTGAGGAGTTCTAGGATGCTCTTCTTAGGAAGAGGGGTCTGGAAATGGTTTCAGTTTTAACCACTGTTTGAAATATTGCCAAACTAGAAAGTGAATGGGATAAAGATGCCAAAACATGGTGAAAGAGTCCCTGAAATGTGCTCAGATGGTCCGCCACCTCTATGGTCTCTTATGCCAACTCAGGGGCAGCAGACTAAATGTATGGGAAAGTATCTTTACAAACTGATCTGTGTGCCCCTGTATATAGACTTTCACTACCAGAGAGCCCCTTTGTTCCTGAGTCCCTCTGCTACCTCTGGCTGGAGTGATCTGTGTAACCAGAGGAACCTGGGCCAGCATTTGTGGCCCAATAATAAGGGCTGGGGCTTCAGTGCCTTGAGGAATTTATACTCTGTTTGGGAAATGTGACATTTAAGATAGTAAATGAAGGAAAAACTTGAATTCCAAGTGAGTAATGCCGATAATAAGAACAGTAAATCAAAGGAGAAAGTCACACCATTGTCACCTATTAAAGGCTTTAAGGAGGATGATGCATTGAAAGAAAGACTCAATTCAGAGAAGGGGGCCCATCCGAGGCGGGAGGAGTGTCTTGGGCAAAGACGGAGGAAGGAATGTCGGTGAACTGCTCAGAGACAGCAGTCCTGTATGTGGTCAAGGGACACAGCCTAGACAGATACATTGATTTTTGCTCAAATTCTCACAGCTCTGTGAGATTGGCAGGGAGGTTGTTCCACTGTATTGATAACAAAACTGAAGAGTAAGGGGCCTTGTTAAAACTACAACTAGCCAAGCATTGAACTAGGACTAAAATGCTAGCCCCAGATTTTGGCTCTGATTACCCTTTTTCTATGTCTCTCTGCCCAAGATTCCTTTCATTTCCTAATTTAGACTGCTCTTGCTATGGGAGGTGAAGAGGAAGGAATAGGAGGACTTTCCTGGGGCCAGACCATGCAGGCCAGAAACTAAAAAATGAGTCACACAGAATGAATCTCACCTCACTGGTGGGTAAAGGCCCTGAGGTGAAAATAAACATCGGAGGTTTTTATTTATGTAAGCAAGGTTCCCACTGGTATCTGTGGCCTCGTGCCACTATATGTAGAGCTATGGGAGAACTGCCAGGCAGGGAGGCTAAGGTTCTGTTTGATTACATATTATCAGAAATTCTTAATTATACACAGGAGGGAAATGACTAGAGGGGGCTTTGAGGACTCTTAAAATTCTGTCATATTATGGGCTGTCCTTGGATTGTAAGGGTCTGTGGTAAAGTACAAGATGAATGAAATTGAGTCTGTGTATGAATTTGGCCAGCTGTACCCTACAAACTCCTCTAAATATATTTTAGGTATGAGCTTAGTCTTAATTTAAAGTAGGGAGTCCAAAATCATTAACAGTACATCTCTTTCTTTCATCTTTGTTTTTTACTGTTTTGTGTTTTTGCTTGAATGTTCATTTCATTTATGTCAGGAGCATGTATTATGAGCAAAGAATAATCAGAAAGAAAGACCTGCAATATACCAACTTAAAACAAAACTCTAAGGTCTTGGCTGCCATCAAAACCTGAAGAAATATTTTGAGATGCCATAAAACCAATTAAAAATAAATAAATAAACCCAAAATACCACCACCATAGCTTTTTATAGCCTCCTTAAATCTTTTCTTAAGGGTAAGTGTGAATCAATGAATAAATTTGGGGGAATTTTATTATTTTCCTCTTAAGAAATTACATTTCTAAAACAAACATTTCCTACCCACTGTGTCCACTTGGCATATAAATGCGGAATCAAAAATAAACTAGAGCACATCTATTTAAAATAAATAACAATCAGAAAAAGTAAATAAATGCGAAAATTTTATCCCAGAAAACCTTTGTTAATCTTCCACTTAAAGGCTGTTGACCACATTTAATTTCCTTAATTGTGAAGGAGAGTATTTTGTCATTCATAGGAACTCATAGAAGGGAAAGCCTATAGGCAGCAATAAACAACATCTCTGATAGAGAAAAATAAATAGCCGAGACCGGATTTATTAACCATTTTTAATAAAATAGTTGGAGGAGGCTAACTTCCTCTCTGCAAAATGCCAAGCCAACAGCCACAAACTTCAGAACTAGTTTATAAATTTAGGCAGATAAATAGAAAAGTGACTGGTAAGTTTGAATGTGGTCAAATGCATGAAATTATTTACAGAAAAATAGGTAATAGAGGCTTGCCTCAGAGCTTAATGATGAGTCAACAAATGGTGAATAGACAGGGTTCATTGCAAACATCAGCTTGGTAAACTATTCAGGATTAAAGATGTCAACAAAGACCCAGTCGTCATCAAAATAAAATTTCACATCCTCCTTCTGTAGCATAAGCAGCACTGTATCCACCCACTCATGGAGTGTAGTACACAGCTCTGTTTCAGCTCAAGAAAACCCGGTGAAATCAGAGAAGGCTCAGAAGAGGGCAACTAAAACAATTGAGGAAGCAGAGATTACTCCAACTAGAGTAGGTTAGATAAAAACATTGAGACATTCTTGGAGGGTTTGAGAGGATCTCTAAACAATAGGGCTATCTTCATTTTGTCCCAAATAATTATGTTTTCTCAGATGGCTGGTGAGTAAAATATTTCTTTCCATTGCTCTTGTCTTTTCCCAGAAGTCAGAGTTCACAAAGTGAGGATTAGATTCAGGGGCCTAAGTGAAAAATAACAGGTCTGCCCAGGGTGACAGCTTGAGACTCTGTCTCAAAAAAGAAAGAAAACTAACAGGTCTGAACTGGAGAGAAGGCTAAACTAAAAGTACAAACCATTCTGTTGGAGGATTCGATATCAAATGACATCCACCACTGGCTCTGTGCAGGCCTAACGTGACAGGGAATATTTTCTGTGTGGCAAAATATGGGCCAAAAAGCGACCATAAAAACTTTCTGCAAGGTTGCTTAATAAAAATTCTAAATCATAGAATGTCTCATAGCACCCAGGGTCTGGCTATGAAACTCTCAGCCCTGTGGAATGTGAACAACAGTAGTAACTAGTGTCTAGTGAGCTAATGAGGATAATGAAGATCAAAATGGGGGGAGAGATAATATTTATTGAAGAATTACTGCATGCCAAGTATTCACATAAGGTTCACAACAGCCTTGCAAAATAAGTATTCCTGTGCAGAGTTCACAAATGAGAAAACCAGAGACACATGGAGACTGGTAATGAAGGTAAATAATGAGAGTGAATAGAAAACTCTAAGCTTCCTGGAGCCATTGAAAGAAAAAAGAGGCCTTTCCAAATAGCCTTTTTTGCCCTAATTATGCCAACCGTTCTACAGAATAGTGTGTAGTGTGGGTGTGAGTCACTACTAGTCTACTAGTTCAAGTCATTACTTTGGGTTTTGCCTCAATCTGAAACTATCACTATAAATTATTATTTATTTTTACCCACTTCTAGCTGATCACTGCTCCCAAGGCTGAGAACAACATGTATGTGCAACAGCGTGATGAATATCTGGAAAGTTTCTGCAAGATGGCCACCAGGAGAATCTCCGTGATCACTGTCTTCGGCCCTGTCAACAACGGCACCATGAAAATCGACCATTTTCAGCTAGGTTCTCTTAAACTTTTTAATTATGTTATTGTTTTTCTCATATATAAGGTGAAACAGACTTTATGGGAGAGATGGGGCAAGGGGATAAAAAGGAAAATACAAGTGTCCAGAGGACACTGTGTTATGGTGACACAGATCAGTTTGCCCACTTATTTACACAGCCTTTCCAGGGTGGTTCTGGGTTTAAGTTTTCTGCCCTTTTAAAGGGAAAATAAGCAAGCACTCTATTGTCTGAAAGTCAGTAAGATGGAGGAAACTGAGAAAAGTAATACAGTGTGGGGGAGGATCAGAGAGGTATTCAGCCATGTTCTTCTGGATCTTGAGTCTTCCTGCCTGTGAGCAATACTATCTGATCTTCCTGCAGATTTTATGCTGCAGGTGACTCATCACAGCTGGGGCCTGCCAAACTCCTGGAAGTACTTGACTCTGGCAAGCCTGAGGAGGGAATTAACCAGAGCTGAGAGAAGCTGTTATGCTAAATGAAAAGTCATTGAAAATATGGACTGAATTGCACCCAAGTCCTTTTGGAGAGCAGAAGAATTTGGCTGAATTTATGAGTTTTCACAATTTTACATATTAATGATGTATGTGAGACTCAGGAGGCATACAGCTCAGTGTTGGGCAGCTCAGATCTAACTTATTGCCATTCTCATGGGAATGTGGCAAGACTTGCTATAATTAGTTAAGCTGTATAGTCAGAAGCCCCAAGTCTGACCCACCCAGTTTCTTTTATAATTACTACATCTCTTGGACTTTTTTTTTAAACCCTTTTTTCTTATATGTGTTTTCTACTGTATTACTGTTGCTGTTCTTGTTTTGATCATAATGAAAATTCTTAGAATAACCTTTGTATTCCACTCTTTGCATAGGCTGAATAGTTTTTATAAAATATATTTAATCTGAAAAGCATCTGGCAGAATATAAAATGTACTTTCCCTGTTAGTTAACATTTAAATTCAATATGTCCAACACATTTTCTCACAGATTTTTCTGGTATATGATCTTTATGTAACTGAATATATATTAGTCATAATTATGTCATAATAATGTCAGTTTGATCTGAATGTGGTTTAGATTTCTAAATCACATTTTTTGGTGTACATACACTTGACAAGAAGTCATCCCTCTTAGTAAGTTAAGTGCATAATACAGTATTGTTAACTATAGGTACAATGTACATCAGATCCCCAGAACATACTCAGGAGTAAAATGTCAGTTATCCATTCTCTACGTTAATTATCTTGCCTTTTCCTAAGATGGTTACAAAGGAAAAATAAATAGCATCTTTTCCAATATACCATCATAAATTACTATGCATCAGTGATTGGTTTGTGGACATTTTTCCTGTGCTATGTGTATGTCTGGGGGGAGAAAATTATTATTGATGTTGTAATTTTGGTCAATGACAAATGTCCTTGTCCAAAATTACAACATCAATAATAATCACACAAACAAAAGACAAATCAAGAAAGTCTGAAGGCAGATCCAGACTCACAATTTATTTGTTGTATGAGCTTGGGCAAGTTATCTCCTAAGTGTTAGCTTAGAAGAGAATCAATTCTGTTTTATAGGCTGGGATGATGATTAAATATGATAATGTATACAAAACCTGTCAGGTAATAGGCATTATTATTGTGATCATTGTCATCACCACCATCTGATCTGGCAGGCATTAGGTCAGTGAGCTGTCCTAGTTGTTACTAGAGCACATATAATTGCAAAATACTTATAATTGCTTTCTGCTAATTATAGAAAGTTGACATGGGAACCCTGACAACTACTTTTTCAGGTCAGGCTGCATTACTGCTCCTGGTGATAAAACTGAAGCCTAAGATTAGACTACTACTGCAAAGCTCCAGATGTATTGGTTAACTGGGATTCAGCCCTTTGTTTCCTAGATTTTCAAATAGAAGCATGAGGCCAGTGAGCTTAATTATACTCCAGATGTCTAGAGAGGAAGTAGAGAGACTGGCGCTGGCTGGTGATGAAAGCCCTTCTCAGCCAGGTGTTCCTGGTGTCAAATGTGTTACCCACCAACTCTTCCACAAAGTGTTCTCATTCCTCATTTCAGAATTTGGAAAAATCATTGTACCTCCCACCTCAACCTCTATAGGTCTTATTATGAGCAGCTGGTACTCTCTTGGCAAATTTTTAGCACAATCCTACTGTTTTCTAGACATCTGGATTGAATACGAACTGTAGAGGAGTTGAGGTTCTCTTTTCTGTCTTAATGGAAGTCAAGTATTATGACTTGAGTATTTACCTCACTGAAGGCAGCCTAAACCTGATGGGAAGGCTTTTATTTTGTTTTTCATGTAGCTCCTGGAAGGCCTTTTTCTCCTTGTGTCATGTCCCAGGTTACCCTTATGGGGAAAGCTAGCACTTTCAGCCAAGACTGGGAGTCAGCCTTGGGAAAATAAGAATTGGCATGAGCCCTGGTCTCAGTGAACCAAACCCCAGCCTTGACTGACTTTCAGCTGGAAATCTATCAGATGGCCTCACTTTTCCTTAAAAATAAATCAAGCACTCTTTACTATTCCAAGCTTTTATTGGGCCTTGAAAGTAGAGGCCCACATCCAACTACAGTGTGGGCTGTACTCACCAGTTCATACCTCTCGCTAAATGTATTTGGACATCAGTGATGGACTTACCAAGACACAGAAAACTTTCCTTAACATTTCAGGCTTCCGTCCAAAGAAAGTTATTTATGCTTGAGTATGTTCCAGTACCCCCTGGTTTTGATAAGACAGAGTATATTATACATGAAGTTTAAAATGACCTAACACGGTGGTGCCCATAGCTCAGTGGGTAGGGCACTGACCACATTCACCAGGGCTAGTGGGTTCAAACCCAGCTGGGGCCAGCTACAACAACATTGACAACTGCAACAACAACAACAACAAAATAGCTGGGCATTGTAGTGGTTGTCTGTAGTTCCAGCTACTTGGCAGGCTGAGGCAAGAGAATTGCTTAAGTCCAAGAGTTTGAGGTGACGCCATGGCACTCTACCCTGGGCAACAGCTTGAGACTCTGTCTCAAAATAATAATAAATAAATAAATAAATACAATTAAATGACCTAACACATAAAGGCATTCTTTATTGTTAATGATATTTAAAATGCCAGGCTGGAGTAGAAATATTGGGGGTATATGTTAAGTGAGCAAATTATAGACAAAGTTTATCAGATAGGAGGAAGATGCTGGCTAATGGCACTTTACTGCGGCATGAGGAGAGGGGAAAAACACACAGCAAGCATGTTTCTTAGCAAAATATCGAGATGAAAAATATGTTGACACACTATTTTATCACCAAGCTTTAAGGGCCAGAACACACAGGACATTTTATAGGCCAAAGGAAGTTCTTCAGTAGCTACTTTTGAAGGAAGGAGAGTATGAGAATAATCAATAATAAGAGAAGTGAAAAAGTTGAAGGATGTGAACTATGACATCCACTCCCTTACTTCTCTGAGTAAGGACTTTCTTTATAGATGAATTTTTAAAATAATATCTATAAATGAGAATAATACAATACATAGCATTCCTCATATACTCTGCCTTTGATCCTGTTGAAGACAGTCATTCTTTATAGATAAGATTCACAATTATCAGGATTCACCCATCGAGTACAATGTGGGGCATATAGCACGCTTCTTGGGAGAAGGACCCAACTACAACTCAGACTGTGGGCTTTACCTTACAGATATAAATAATGTAACCTAATTGTTTGCACCCTCATATTAACCCATTAAAAAAATCCCCCAATTCTGCTTTCCCTCAAGGGAATTCTGGAAAATCGATCCTTCCCCCCCAACCCTTTTTTCATCAGTGGTGACAGAGCCTGGCAGCTGCCTTCTCTATAGTCTGTCACCCTGAGCTGGGAGGATAGGCTAGATGGGTTGTTAGATTTCCATACACTGGCCAGGTGTCCTTCTTTGTTTATTCTGTCTTTGCTTATCAACCTCAAGTGCCCTGAAGGCTTGGAAGCCTGTCTCCCAACTTGCTGAGTCATCCTAGTCCACTGCCCTTGTTACTTCCAAGGTCAAGCATATCAGTGTCTGAGGGTCCAAGGGTGAAAAGTCCCTACTAAGTCAAATGTACAAAATAAGTGTTTGAGGAATACAGTGGAAGGGTTAGCTCTTCCAATGGCAGTCATCAGACAAAGGATTAATTGTAAGTATCAGAGAATCTTGAAAAGTGGGTTGATTTAAAGGAGGGGCATTGAAAAATGATTACCTTTTTTTGATAAGTGATGGCTCTATCAAGGTTTCTTCTGTTTTTATATAATTTTTCAAAGAAATGATACATTTTCTGGATTCTAAAAAGGTACACACAGAGAAGCCTTATATTTCTCCTGACCCCTTTATTCTGATA